TTGTCTTTTATTAGGATTTTAATTTTKCCATGTAAGCAGYCTTATCCTTACTTCARAATTAATATAAATAGAAAGAGGGGGCGGCAGATTAAGCATCCTCTTCTTTTCTGAAATCCTTCCTTCGAAATCTTCTTCTCTTCTTTTCTCTTTCTCCTCTTATTCTCTCCTCTCATCCTCTTAATTCCCTATTGATTATACACCACAGCTTTGGCCTGTCAGTAGTCTCATACGACTACAATATATATAGAGTTCAATGGTTGTTCATGACACAACTTGTTGCTATCTATGGGGCCAGCAAATATGTCAACGTAGAAAGTGCTAGAAGTGCTAGAGGTAGACCAAAAAGGACATGGGTATAGTTGAAGTAGTAAGAAATGATTAAAGAGCCAATAATTTAGCAATGGATATGGGCATTAAGCAGAAAGGAGTGGCGAAATAGGATTCATGTAGCCAACCCCATACAGTTGGGATAAGGCTTGGATGATGATGATGAAATATCTCAACATAAAATTACAGTCAAGCGATACAAGACAAACATTTCTAATCCAGAAACATTACATGCCCTTGATGTCAACCAGATTAGCTTGCAATAACTAAAATATTCTTATTTCCAGCAATACAGATTTAATAAACATCTAATTTTCTATTATTCATATCTTACTTTTCCCTCCATTTTATAGAATCAGCCAATCCCTCAATAGACTAACTTCAGTGACAAAGAGGTTCAGCTACCAACAAGTTGGGTTAAGAAAACCATAAAATACACACCCAATTACATTAGAAAAATACTCATGCTATACTTCTGTTGGGTACTTTTGCAGTCCTACAAGGTCTATCTCTATCAGAAAGGTAGGCAGCTTTCTGTTCATATAATCCATGCATAACCACTAAACAAGTAAAAGGCATCTAATAATAATAGGATCAATGATTTTATCTACTCTGCCTTCAAATTTTCAAACTTTCTTTTATCAGCAACAATAATCAGGTAATTTCCATTAAACTGGAGTAACCCTTTTTTCTTGAGAGAGAGTAGGTAAGATAAACTTGTATTAATTTCTCAAAAAAAAAAGGTAAGACCCCTATACAGTAAGGTTTAATACAGCTCTAAGGCTGTATTAATTTGTCAAAAACTGGAGAAACCCTAATATTCCAAAGGTTTTAGAATAAGGGGGGGCAAGTATAAAACTGCTCTAAGGCTGACAAATATCATAAACTATATAAAAACCAAATATAGAACTACAAGCTTTTTTGTTTGAAAGGTAAGGTAGAGCTTTATTAGAACACCACACAAATATTACATCAGCTCCCAAGCCACATTAGACTTGGCCGGAAAAGCTGAGAGAATGAGATGAAAATTTGATGGAAAAACTGAAAGAATGAGATGAAATTTTGAGTACAGTGGAGTTAAAAACATGCATTGATTTCCCCCTCCAGAAGAATTTGTCAGGCTGAAATTTTGATGGAAGTAGTCAGGGCAATCCGGGTCCTTCTGGAGTGGGAGGAGTCTTGAGAAATAAGTTAGGACATGCCATAGCCTTATTCTTAGGTCCAATAGGGATGGGAGATTCTATTAGAGCTGCATTGCTTGCAGTTCAACAAGTTACAAATTGCAAGTGAGTTAAATCTGGAGAAATTGGTACTTGAAGGGGACAAAATGGTGGTGGGATGGTTAAAGGAACCGGAAGATGTAATTTGGGGCTACAACAATGAGATGAAATTTAAATGGATGACAAGGAACATGATTCTAAGAATCCAGTGGGTGAGGACAGCAATACCTTTGCTGACTCTCTAGGTAAGCAAGGGGTTAGTGGGTTACTAGGGAACAATTGTATTGGGCGCAGTTGTAATTGTTTATGTTCTTTGTTCTTTCCTGAGTGAGAGAGGCTACACCTAGTGTCTCTCTTCAGGAAGCTTGTACTGGTTGTATTTGTTTTGTCTTCTCTATATCTTTGATTATTAATAAAATTCTATTCACTTATCAAAGACGAAATGGAAAGAAACATGCTTTAGAAGATTCAAAAAACTAGCAGATGGAGAAAGATACATTTATGCTTTACCTCTGTAGATACTATAACCATTAGAGAAATCAAATAGCATTACATATGCATTCATATTTTACCTCCGAAGGCTCCAGTATCTGTTGTGGATTGAGTTATATAACCTCAGTCTTATTTCACAATCTCGAATAACAACTTTCTGGTATATGTGTCACATTTCTTGCCAAAATCTCTTTATGGACAGCAAGCTCTGAATGGCTGGTTAGAGTCGAGAAGAGCAAATGCTGACAGACCAGCTTATACAAAGATGATATGCCTTTGGGCACAAATTTGGTTCTTCTTTTTATCAATAACAGAAGAATTTCACAAATTTGCCTCTTAGTGCTCCAGTCGGGGCACAGGAGATTATTGCTCCTTTCCTAAATCTAAGACCTACCTCCTTACCTGTTTTGTTCTTTTTATTCCTTTCTTTTTCTTTCTCTTTTTAAATAAGCATCTAAGTATCAACACCACCTTAAAATGGACAATTAAAAGAAGTAAACTCTAGGAACTTCTGATCTGAATTCTGCACTCAACTCTTGCTCCATGCTTCACAGGTATGCAACTAACGCTATACCTGGGGACAACACAAACAGATGTGCTTACTCTATGTATCTAAATCCAATGTGGAATGGGAATTATACAACGCTACACGCATCAAATACCTATTCCACATTGGATTTAGAAAATGAATTATTCATGAATAATAATAAATTAAAATGTGCCTACCATTTTTTTGGTATTTAATTAAAATGTGTCTACGGTCTACCATTGACATACAGCCTCAGAAATTCATTCTGATTGTTGGTTGTAATTCAGCTTGTTTTATCAACTCATCATGTAAAGTGTAAAGAACAGTCTTAACTGTTGAAAAACTACCTTTTTTTACAAATGAAGCAACTCTTTTTCAAAGTTAACTAATGAACAATTTCTTTACCCAAAAAGTAAATAAAATATCTATGACCAAGTTAACTCAGATTAAGGTCTTTCTTCGCAAACTTGCATTAACACAAAATTGTTGTAGACTCCACTAACGCCATTCTTTTTTGTGAAAATATAAATATTTATATAAAATGAATAAATGAATAAAAGTATAAAACTGAAATGAGGTAATACCGGATTCCGGCGAGCAGAGTTATCCCGCCTTTGAATAACGTCCTTCGCGAACTTTTCGCTCGATTTTGCAAACCCTTTTAATTTTTCCACAGCTGAAGTTATGTGTTCCATTAGAAAGAGAAGGGTGATGAAACCCTAAAACAATGACACTGAGGGTCTGTTGGAGTTGGAATCGGAAAGGCCTATTCCCCCTACTTGTTTGGTTCAAACAAGAATCAGAATCAGATTCCAATTTATGCTGTTTGGTTCATTAAGAGTCTGGAATGGGAATCATCCATGATTTCCAATTTTTCCCCTAATAAAAATAAAAAAAAAAAATGCATGGAAATATCAGAAATTTTGCAGAAATTTTGCAGGAAAATCAGAAAAATGCAGAATTACAAAATTGCAGAAATTTTGCAGGTCCCAAATATCTTTATAATTCAGAAGGTATATACTAGTCTCAAAAGCCACAATCACTTTTGAAGAGTGGAGGATAATACCTCAAAAGGTTCAGGTAAGCTTTTTCCCCATCTTGATTTCTGATCTTCCACATCCTACCTTCTTATGGAACTCTATTTTGTTTTTGTGTTATCTTATGGTTGAACTAGTGGAGGTGACCTGAAAGGGGGAAGTAAAATTCTATTGAAATATGTTATATAATTTTAGGTTGTTGTGATTCTTAAGGTCCATAACAACAGCCTTTCAGGTTTCTGTTTGGATTCCTATGAGATGGAAGTTCAAAAATTAACAGTAAACACATGAATAGGGTCCATGGAGGTTGACAAGTTTAGATAATTCATATCTACTTGACTTAAAATGAAGCTCTGTCGGTCCATAGAGTAAAATATATCCACATGGACATAAGGTAATCATCTAATGTAAAACTTCTGGCTACCTTCATGTTTGATATTTCTGCATTACTAACTATATGGCTTGGTTGCATCTTTATGCACAATAATAAATTGTAATAAATGAGAAATGAAAATAAAGAATTTCTCTTATGCAAAGCTTTGGAGATGCTGCACTCCACAATACCGTATTGCACTGATCCAGGCAATTCATTTCTATAGCCACAATTGGTATGCATTAACCATTGTCACAAACCTTGCTTCATATTCCTAGTCCTTTTTGGTCTCTTATCTTACTTCCATTATTTTGAGAGTTTAGCATGCAACCTACAACACAGGGAATCATCCTTAAAATTTCAATAAATTGTCTATGGATGTTTCTGATAAAAAAAAAAAGAAACCTTCAAATATCGCCTCTTTATAATGTTACCCAAGCCTATCCTGAAACAGAGCTGCATTAACACTTCGGCTAATCAGTTTTTGTCTTTCTTTGTTGTTTTTCTGACAGCATCTTCACTGGAAAAGTGGAATCACTGTGATTTGGCATTGCAACATTGAATGGTTTCTTTGGGGATAAGCTTGAATATAACAACAGAAATACCCTTCAGTGATGCTTTTCATCTGCATGCATCTACAACAAAATTTGGAGATATATCCTAAACATGTCAAGACCTCGTATAGGACCAACATTGGGTAATGGCCTTTATCCTCAACCTCTTGGCAATACAGATTTGTTGGGGATTGGTGAAACAGACTTTTGTCTGTTGAATGACTTTGTAGGAGATAGCATGATGGTGGATATCAAGAAAATCTCCTACTACATTCATCTGATGCAACAAACTGAGTTTCTACAACCTTCACCTCCCTGAGAATGTTTCTTGTTGATCATCTGCCATGAGGATATGGAGGAATACAAAGGGAATGATGATTTTGGACCCAGCACTGCTTTTACCCCAAGATGCATATCAGTATCAATGGCTTACAATGAGGTCGAATAATGAGGAAGGGTGAAGAACAGCTGAAACCAAGAAGAAACTGCAATCTTTTTAGGTGACAAATCAGCTCTCTCTCTCTCTCTCTCTCTCTCTCTATCTATCTATCTATCTATCTATCTATCTATCTCTATCTCTATCTCTCTATCTAGCTATCTATCTATACATATATATATATATGGATGTGTGTATTAAAAAAGAGGGAGAATTACCCTCCAAAAAAAGTTATTTAAAAAGATATGCAGCTTCTACTACTTGAAAGTGCATCAGATCTTGTTTTCTAATCATTTAGAACCTGTATTTTTTCAAGTTATTTCCATATGCTTTGTGCATCATTCTTGAGTTTATAGTTGCCTTCGTAATCTGCTCTTTGTTCTTTTTATCTTCTGCAAGATGTTAATTTTATTTCATTGAAAGAGATGGAAGATCCATGAGGACAAAACAAAACTGCCAATTGACTTTGAAGTTTTTGATGAAGGAAAATGAAAAATTCAAGTGGAAATTTGGTTTGTTTTAAGAACTGACTAGTTTTATTCTAATCATTTAGAAAACACTGGGAATTTTTGGGAGCCTGAGTTTACCAGTCTCAGCACTAAGATTTAAAACGTCTGAACTGTTCAATGGGGAATTCTTATTGTTATAAGTATTATTTTGGATTGTGATCGAATGTTGCCTGCTGATTCTGATGGTATGCTTGAGTGGGTTTTTCTTGTTAGGCATTTAACTTTATTTTGAAACATGTGATCTCTGTCAACACATTTAATGTTACTTGCTAGAGATCTAACAATCTTTTATACTGGAAAATTTTTAACCGTTCCCATTATTGCCACGACTTGTAAGTTGAAATTAGGTGGCTAATCTCTCAATTGCTTTTGCAGTCTGTAGCAACCTTCTTCAGCCAGGTTATGGCTGCAATTGGAGGGAATACTGCTGGGCCAGGTTTGTGGATGTGTACTCTTACTTTCCCCTACAAATTAAGAATCATATTTCTTAAATTTGAAAATGTGAATGCTAGCCCTGTTATTCATAATAAACAAATTGCTAACCTTTTGTGTGTGTGTGTGTGTGTTTTATTTATTTATTTTTTTACAGGGGATGCTGTTGTTAATGTATACGTCATCCATGAAAAGAAGTTTGCCTTTGTAGAGATGAGGTCAGTTGAGGAAGCCAGCAAGGCTATGGCCTTAGATGGTATAATTTTTGAGGTATAGTATTGTTATTGTAGTTTTCTCCTGATGGATTTTGGGCATATCTGGCTCATATCTTATTCTTTACAGTAATGGATATGTTTCTCACTCCTGATGGAAATATTAGGTTGGATAGATTTATGCCCCTTCATCTTTTATTATATAAAGCAAATGCGTCACTTATACAAGCTTTTGATGTCAATTGGAATGGACCTAGTACCGCAATCAACTCTTTACATTCAGTCTCCACCAGTAATAATTTTCAAAAAAAAATTTCCACCAATAACTAACAAACTATCAATTTCCTTCCAGTTGTACCAGCTTTTGATTTCTGACTTTTGTTTCACATGAAACTCTAAAAACTGCTCATCAATGGTGGAGCTTCTTCAACTTCGAACTAATAACACTCCTCTTTCGGATGGAAAGTACAAATGGAGAAGATTTCAAGTCCAACAACCAACAAAAAAATATCTAATACATACGTTGGTTCAATTTCAACCAACGGGATTTTTCATCAACTTAGGATAAAAGAATCTATAGAAGCAATAAAATAAGAGATACCTTTGCCAGAAAGAAAACTGAGGAAAACTTACCTCCATGGTCTGGTCTGGTCTGCAATAGGAAGACAGCAGAAGAATGAAAAAGAGTGTGAGAGAGAAGGATAGGAGAGAGAGCAAAACCAACGGTGACTTACCTTGACGTCGCCGGAGCTTCTGTCAAAATCCGTTCTTCAAACTTCAGTTGCAAGGAGAGAGGGACGAGAGATGAGGGAGAGAGGGTTAGAAAGTTGGAATCGGGTAGTGTGAACTCTGAAGGGTTTGAGGGCTTTTATGTCATTTTGTTAAGAAGCGGGAATGGGACTCCGATTCCTGGGGTTTGGATCGGGAACGGCCATTCCGGGCAATCGGATTCCGATTCCGGACCCTATTACTGCGAACCAAACAGGGCCTGAATCTGTGATATTTGGAAGACTTTTCTTTCCAATCATAAATTGGATGACTGCAGGCCTCCTTCTAAGTAACATTACTTTTCGGGTGGTTATGAGCCGAGTTTTTCATGAATTATTCGATCTAGGTTCATGAAAAGCTCAATTCAATTCGGTTTAAATTAAGCTTCAAGTCAAGCTCGAGCTTAATAAAGCTTAGCTTGTAAATCTAATCGAGCTTTTACGTTTATATACATACATACATACATACATACATACATACATACATACATACATACATACATACATACATGCATATATATAATAAATATAAAAATGTTATACATAATAAAAAATATTATATATATAATATTTTTATTATATATATAAGAACTAATTTTATAATTCTTATTTTTATATGTCAAATAAAAAATAAATTATACATGTATATATATTTTTTATTTTTATAAAATGTTTGACTCACATTTGAGCTCAAGCCGAACCAATTTCGAACTTATGAACTTTTGACTACAGTTGAATTCGAGCTCAAGTCTTTAGCTCAAATCAAACTCGAGCTCGAGCCTGATGATTTACTGGCGAGCCAAACTTAAATAGCTAGATATTCAGTTTGGCTCGACTCAAATCCACCCCTACTTCTCATACTGGTAGTATTTTACATAATGATGGAATGATCCCTAGAGGCCCAGACCAACTTTTTGATGAGCTTCTAGGCTTCTAGCTGGACCACTGCTTGGAAAAATAAGCCCACCCTTTCCCCAACTTGCATTGGGCTTGGTGTGTGGACTAGGATCCTCGAGTACGGCGTTGCAGGTCCAATTAGGGCCAAACACCCAACATGAGAATTTTTTGGGCTACACAAGAGCACTTCCCCAACCACCACAAAAGCAAATAAAATTCAGTTACCATGACAAATCATTAACATAAATTAAGAGGTCATTGATATTAAGGTACATGAGTCAACAAATCCACCTCTGAGTAGTTTTCGAACGACATGACAATACCTAACATTATGAACCATTAGCTTGCTAAGGCAATGAAATAAGGGGATCGTTATTGTCCAAGACAAATGATGCCAATCTTGGAATCACCTGATTAAAGATCGAAAAATCTCTAAAGTTGAGTGCAATATCGTGGACTTCCCAAGCAGCTCAGACTTCAACAAGATTAATAGTCAAAAAATTGACACATATCGGTCCATATCGGTTGATACATATCATATCGGAAGCTTCCCGATATGCCCCTAGAGAGGGTGTATTGGGGTTTTGACTAGTTTGGGAGTGGATGAACCTTAAACCAGCCCCTTTGAATTGGTTTTGAAAAGAAAAACTAAAGAAACAACCAATACTACCTGATACGCTTCTACCGGCGTATCAGGCGTATTAATACTTTGAACCTTGATGTCAATAGAATATAATAGGCTTTTAAATCTAGGACCTTGCCAAAATGATCCCTATAAAATGCATGTAATGGAACAAAAACAGGTTTCCACAAAATTAATTTTGATTACACCCTCCTTAGAACATTTCCACAAAATAGGCAACCACCTCTTATCATTATTTGATAAAAGCTCCCTACTCAAACATGTTTTCATGTCCATGAAAAAATTAGGAGCCATTTTCAAGAGGGATGGGGGAACAAACAATTATAAAATAATTCTCCATTTCTAATTTTCCATATGAACCATAAAATAATCACTAATTTTTCTTTAAGAAATGAATCACTATTCACTTTGATAGTATTTGAAATTCTATTCCACTAATTCTGAATTGAAATATCCTCATTACTAGGTCTACCAAGGTTAGAGCCAATGGTCAACCAAACTTTTTTAGCGGAAAAGCAATTTAGAAAAATGTGATCCATGTCTTCCTTTTCACCACAAATAGCACAAACACCATCACTTTCACAACCTTTATTAATAAGCATTTTTTTATAGAAGTTTATAACTTAGCACAAAAAAGGAAGACTTTTTTAGCTTAGAGGACACAAAATTTTCCAAACACTTCTAGGCAAGCCATTAAGAACATGATTATCCTAATTTTCCAAACACTCATTATATGCAGGCATCACCATGAATTCACCATTAGAAGTGAGTCTTTATATCATTTTGTCCTCAATGGAAACAGAAGGAAGAATAAGAAGTTTAATTTTTTGTGTAGCCTAGAAATGAAACACATGAGAAAAGCTTTAAAGAAAAGAGCAGAAGTCGAATTTTATGAAGAAGAAATCTTCACTAAATAATTAAGAGAAAATTGATAACAAGAGAACTGTCATAGTCTCCCTCTAGCTACTCTTTATATAGGCATACACCCTTATGGCTCCTATTCCTAATCTAAAAACACTCCATAATAGAATTCTACTAAAACTCCTTAAAAAAAGAAGATCCTAATATAAGAAAACACTCTAAAATAGAATCCTACTAAAATCCTTCAAAGGAAAAGTCATAATTGAATATAAATTCGAAATAATGCTAATTTGGTAATAACGAACTAAGATAGAAATCTTGTGACAATGCTATATCAATAAATATTACTAAGTTGGATCGGTGACATCATCTTTGTTTCTATCTTCCTACATGCCTCGAAGTGAGTCATTTTTGAAAATTGGTCTATGACCACCATTATAAAATCTACATGTCACTGGGTACATGGCAACCCAAGAATGAAGTCCATAGACATATCTACCCAAGGTCCTTTAAGAACTGGGAGGGGCATGTATAATCCAGCATTGGTTACCATTCCCTTAGAAACTTGGCATATGTGACAATGCTCCACAAACCTTGTGATGTCTCTTATCATCTTGGGCCAAAAGTAACTTGCTGAGATGAGATGAATTGTTTTGTCTTACCCAAAACGTCCTTCATTGTGAAGCTCTTTGATGATTTTCAGTCGCCATGAGCAATAAGGGTCAATGAAAAATAATTCACAAAAAGTATCAAAACCCTGGTACCTGTGCTCGGAACGTGGATAACATGGCTCTCATTCGGTTGAGCGCATCCGCTACTTGATTGTGCACACCTAACTTGTGTTTCAGCACAAACGAATATTCTTGGAGGTATGCGGCCCATTTAGCATGCCTTGCATTCAACTTATGTTGGGCCTCAATATGCTTAAGTGCCTCATGATCTGAATATAGAATGAACTCTTTATAAATGAGATAAAGTCACCAACACCGGATTGCTTGTACCACAGCACAACCTCAAAGGGTTGCTCGAAGTTGGGAAGGGCTACCACAGGTGTAGTTGTCAACCGTGCCTTAATCTCAATGAAGGCTCTCTCTGCTTCAGTGGTGAACATAAAATTGGTTGTAGCCTTCATACAATCTGTATATGGTGCCATAACAGTGCTGAAGTTGCTAATGACTCGTCGGTAGAAGCTTGCAAGACCATGAAAACTCCATGCTTTAGTAAGTGTTATGGGGATGGGCCACTCAACAATGGCATGAACCTTTTTTGTATCTACAGAAACTCCTTCCCTTGAGATGGCATACCCAAGGAATAAGACCCGGTCTATGGCAATAATACATTTTTTCATGGTTGCATAAAGTTGCTCCCTGCGCAAAGCCATAAGTATATCTCAAAGATGCAACAAATGAGAGTTCATATCAACACTATATATGAGAATATTATGCATCAAAGTATATCACAACACACTGACCAATAAAAGGCTTGAGAACCTGGTTCATGACCCTCATGCATGTGCTTGGTGCATTGGACAAACCGAATGGAATTACTAGCCATTTATACAAACCATCCCACGTCTTGAATGCTATATTCCACTCATCACTAGGACGAATTCTGATTTGGTGATAGCTTTATTTCAATTCCAACTTAGTGAACACCTTGGTCCCAGAAAGCTGATCCAACATGTCATCCAAGCATGGAATTAGAAATCGGTATTTGATAGTTATCTTATTAATTATCTGGATGTCAACGCACATCCTCTAAGTACCATCCTTTTTGGGTGCTAATAAAGCGAGAACCATGGATGGACTCATACTATCTCGTATGAACCCTTTAGCAATCAGTTCATCTAATTGCTTTTGCAATTTCTCATGTTCAATGGGACTCATTCTGTAATGGGCTTTGTTGGGGAGACTAACACCCGACGTTAAATCTATGTAATGTTGGATATCCCTTAATGATAGTAATCCTATCGGTAAGTCCTCGGGAAATACATCATTAAATTCATCAAGCAAAGGCCTCACCTTCTCTGGAGCCTCCACACTTTCAGTTCAAGCCCCTTGTCAATTAAAGCATACACAACACCGGTCTCTTTTAAGGCACTTGTGAATTCAATCATAGCAAAAAGGTTAGAACCCTCCTCAGGTTTCGGTTTAGTCTCTTGTGATGGACATAAGATCAGCTTTTTCCCTTTAAACTCAAAAGAGTATGTATTCTTTCGTCTATAATGGACTATGTAGCGATCAAATTGCCATAGGCACCAAGTAGCAAATGACAGGCAACCATGCATACATCACACCACACACGATCATTATAATTATTGCCAATAGAAAATCTCACTAGACACCGTTGTGTGACTGAAACATCATTCTTTCTTTTTAGCCATGCAAGCTTGTAGGGGTGAGAGTGTTGTTGAGTTTTTAGGTTCAACTTGTGGACGGCTACTTCCACTATAACATTCTCACAATTCCCGCTATCAATTACAATGCTTGCAACTTTTCCACCCATAGTACACGTGGTGTGGAAAATATTATTTCTTAGCCAATCCAATGATTCATCCCTAGGAGTTAGGAATGATCGCTACAACACTAAGGCCTCTCCCATTTCTTCATTATAAGAGTCAAACATGGGTGGGGCTGAATAGTCAAATGCTTCTAATTGGGTTTC